CGCCATGACCTTCGTCGCTCGGAGCGCAAGGTCAGTTGCGGTTCGGAGTTCTTTCAGAACTTCTGGATTGTGACCACCCTCGTGCAGGTCCTTCAGTGCCTGAGCCTGGTGGACCTGCAGTAATGCCATGGCATGCAGGGTGGAGGCAGCCTCTCCACAAGCCGCATAAGCACCGCTGGTCAGACCAGATGAGTGCTTACAGGCCCGGGAGGGAAGGGCCAGTTTGCCCCGCCAGGTGGAAGCGGTACCAGGACACAACTGCAACGCTACCGACCGTTCCACCGGGGGGATCTCCGTATACCCCTTGGCTGCTCCACCATCGAGGGTGGTGAGGGAGGAGGAACTACTAGGCCGGGTTCTGGCAGTAAAAGGTGCCATCCACAACCTAGTGAGGTCCTCATGCACCTCCGGGAAGAATGGCACCGGAGTGGGGTGCTGAGAACCAGCGTGGGCCACCCAACTACTAGGCCGGTTTCTGGCAGTAAAAGGTGCCATCCACAACCTAGTGAGGTCCTCATGCACCTCCGGGAAGAATGGCACCGGAGTGGGGTGCTGAGAACCAGCGTGGGCCACCCTGAGAAACCAGTCATCCAACCTCGAGGGCTCGGGACGCGGTGGAGGTTTCCACTCGAGCCTTACCCTCTCGGCGGCCTGGGAAAGCATTGCCGTCATCTCTGGATCCGATTCAGGCCTTGCTACCGTCCCAGAAGGGCGGCAGCGCAGCCGAATCTTCCTCTCCAGAGAGCTCAGGCTCGCCCTCCGATGCAGCGATCGACATCCGATCGTCGGGAGGAGCCCCAAAGGATAGGGCTGGTACGCCCTTTGTAGAGGAAGGGTCGACACAAAGTACGCGTCCTTTAGGTCGACCGCTGCAAACCAATCTCGGGGACGGATGCACCCGAAGATGCGCTCCTGCGTCAACATCTTGAACGGTAACCGGCGAAGGGCCCGGTTCAAGACACGCAGGTCCAAGATTGGTCGTAACCCACCGCCTTTCTTGGGTACAATGAAGTAGGAGCTGTAAAACCCCGTCTTCATATCGGCTGGAGGGACCGGCTCTATCGCATCCTTCGCCAGTAGGACTGCGATCTCTGCACGCAAGACAGGGGCATCTGCTGCTTTCACTGACGTAAAGTGGACGCCCCTGAACCTGGGAGGCGCCGGGCGAACTGAATCGCATAGCCGAGCCTGACGGTTCGACGGAGCCATCGAGACGGGCTGGGTAGCTCTAGCCAGGCTCTCAGACACCGCGCAAGTGGCATCAACGGAACTACAGGCGTACCCGCAGTGGGGCAGCGCGGAAGAACGCAGGGACCCGGCCCGGGCGTCTCTTTGCCGGTCCGAGGCGGGGTCTGGGTGTGTGTAACACTGACCTGCGTTTGAGCAGAGGGTGCGTGGGTAGTCCGTTGGTTCGTCCTCCCGATCCGCCCACTGCTGCTCACTGGCGAGAGAGGAGGGTGAGTGTGATACGCACTGGATCGTCCACAACCCCCCGTCCCCTCTGGGGACCCAGAAATAGAGGAATTGCTCTTTGTCGAGTATTTGGGTACCACCGACCGAGAGGTCAGTGGCAGAAAAAGATGAAAAGATTCTCCGCCCGGCCCTCCTCCGGGGGAGGGAGTGGTGTGCTTACCATCTCCTGAAGAGCAGGTCCCTCCACCTCTGGGTTGCCCGTCTCAGGGCCTCTGCTCTTTCGCTTGCCACCAGGTTTGGCGGGGGCCTGGACGGGCGGGGCGGCTGCTCTGCGACCGGCTCCATGGCGCAGCTTTGCTGGAGGCCGCAGGAGCGGGGCGGTGGCAGGGGGGCCGCCCTCGGCGACGGCAGCAGCTGCACGCCGGGGCAGGATGTACCTGATGGCCTCAGTCTGCTTTGGTCAGCGGAGAACTGCTGGGCAAGTTCTCCACCGTGTCGCCGAAAAGGCCGGCCTGGGACACGGGGGCGTTCAAGAATCGTGTCTTGTCTGTCTCGCGCATGTCAGCCAGTCACAGCCAGAAATGGCGCTCCTGGACCACCATAGTGGACATCGCACGACCCAGAGACCGCGCCGTAACCTTCGTCGCTCGTGGCGCGAGGTCCGCCGCGGTGCGGAGTTCTCTGCGAACTTCCGGGTCGTGACCACCCTCGTGCAAGTCCCTCAGTGCCTTGGCCTGGTGCACTTGCAATTACGCCGTAGCGTGTAAGGCGGAGGCAGCTTCTCCACAGGTCGTATAAGCATCGCTGGGACCTACAGACCCGGGAGGGGGCTGCCCCACCATCGAGGGTGGTGAGGGAGGAGGAACCAGCAGATCGGCTTCCGGCAGTAAAAAGGTGCCGTTCACGACCTGTTGAGCTCCTCATGCACCTCCGGGAAGAAAGGCACTGGGGTGGGGCCCTGAGAACCAGCACGGGCCACCCCGAGAAACCAATCGTCCAACCTTGAGGGTTCGGGACGCGGTGGAAGATTCCACTCGAGCCCGACTCTCTCGGCGGCCCGGGAAAGCATAGCCATTATTTCTGGATCCGATTCAGGCATTGCTACAGTCCCGGAGGAGAGCAGCGCAGCTGAATCCTCCTCTCCAGAAAGCTCTGGCTCACCCTCCGATGCTGCAATCGACATCCGATCGTCGGGGGGAGCCTCGGAAGAAACAGGTGGTACCCCCCGGGAGGATCCAGCCTGCTCTTTCGAGGGCTCCACTGGCTTCGAAGTGCCGGCTGGCTGGGGCATCCCCTTCCTTGTTGGAGGGGAATTCCTCACCGTGACCGTGAGACCAGTCCGCCCACTGCCAGAAAAAGGGTATCCCCGGCTGCCACCAGAGGGAACCCCAGATCTAGGCAGTGGCACGGGCACTCCGCCCCCTTGCAGGTAACGGAGTCTGGTCCGCAACTCCGAGATGGTCATACCCCCGCAATGGGAGCATGAGTCATCCACGAAAGCCGCCTCAGCGTGCTTCACGCCCAGGCACGAGAGGCAGCGATCGTGACCATCACCCGGCGCCAGGTAACGACCGCATCCAGAAACGCACGGGTGAAATGCCATCTTTAAAAAGACGTTCACCCGAGCCTGTAGTTTGCACCCACTCAACGAAGGTCGACCAACCCGCTGTCGCACCGTAACACCCGCACAAAGAAGCTCCTTTGAGAGCGCTGACTCGTTCGACACACACAAAGGCTTGGCAGGAGCAGAATGATAACACAGCTCGGCTCCGAAGCGAAAAGCTGATTATGCGCTGCACGGCTGCCTACTTATACTCACGCTGTGATCAGCGGCAGCTGGATGCAATAATCGCATGCCAATGTGCATTGGCTTTACACTCGAAGTGGATTGGTCTCTCTGGCGATATTCCCAATTTGTCGGTCACTGACGTGATGTCGAGAGTGACCTACTGAAAGGGAACCAGAGTCTCTAGCTAAGGAGAAAAATCTAAGCACAGTGTTTTATGTTGTTGAGATCTCTTCTAAAGCTTTAAAGGAGACAAATGTGAGACCACCAGAGTCTTTAGACTAGGAGAAATATCTGAGCACAGTGTGTGAGTTTTTTTAGATCTCTTCTAAAACTTTAAAGGAGACAAATGTGAGACCACCAGATTCTTTAGACTAGGAGAAATATCTGAGCACAGTGTGTGATGTTGTTGAGATCTCTTCTAAAACTTTAAAAGAGACAAATATGAGACCACCAGAGTCTTTAGACTAGTAGAAATGTCTGAGCACAGTTTGTGATGTTGTTGAGATCTCTTTTAAAGCTTTAAAGAGACCATTGTGAGAGTGTTAGTTTTTGTCTCAGGAGACAAGTTTGAAAGGCAGGAGACTCAAGCAAAAATCTCAATTCGATCTTAAAGTAACCTCATTTCTGTCTAGGACAAATATTTGAGATGTTAAAGAGATCTCACTTTTGACTTTTCTTGTCTATGGGAAGGACTATGAGACTAGGGTGTAAAAGATTAAATAAAACAGAAAAACATAAATTTTTGTGGCATTTTGCTATTTTCATTGCAATGTATATCATCAAACTCCAAAGAGAACGAGTGAGTAAACAAGTCAGAGGATGTGCAAGAAAAAAAGTGATCCAGATCCCATGAGCTGCAGGCAGAGTTGTTTATGTTGTTTATGGTTTAAAACAGGGGTGTCAAACTCAGTTCCTGGAGGGCCGCAGCCCTGCAGAGTTTTGTTCCAACCCTGCTCCAACACACATACCATGACGTTTTCAAATAAGCCTGAAGGACTGGATAAGTTGGATCAAGTGTGTTTAATTAGGGTTGAGTCTGAACTCTGCAGGGCTGTGGCCCTCCAGGAACTGAGTTTGACATCCCTGCTTTAAAACATCTTTGAGAGCCCTTAGCTCCTGAAATCACCGCTTATATCATTCTAGCTTAGTTTTATCATCACTGGTTTTGTTTAGATTGTTTCTGACTGGTATATGGAAAATCAGTGTTGGAGTGTGTACTTTTTGTGGTTAACCTTACTGACAATTAACACACAGACTAGGTCCTAAATGCCATTAAACATGAAACATTCTAAATAAATGCACCTTTGATTATAAGGTGATCTGTATATGAACAGAAATTGACAATGATATCAAAACCACTATAGAAGCGCTGCTCTGTTGGGTATGAGTTGTTTATTCAGTTGCTATTCTATTAGTTTTTAATTAGCTTGTGTTTGAGAGTGTGTTTTTTCAATACTGTTTGTTTGCCTGTAACTTTATTCTGTATTTGTTCAGATTGCTACACACAGTGGATTCTTCCAGATGGCAGAATGAGCTTTTTTTTAGTAGTCTTTTGATATTTAATTACACTATTGTTTAAAAATTTGGGGTCGGCCAGTAAAAAAAAATAAAAAAATTAATACTTTATTCTGCAAGGATGCATAAAATCAAGCAAAAGTTACAGTAAAGAAAAGTATAATGCTACAAAAGATGTCTGTTTAAGCCTGTCTTTTTGGGAGAGATGCAAACAAAAGGCTTTTTAAATTAACATTGTGTTTTTCCCTTCTCATTTGTTTTCCCTGTTCTCTCTTTCCTTCAGTGGGTGGCATTTGCCTCGCTGTTCTTCATACTGGTTTCCATAACCACATTCTGCCTGGAGACACATGAGGCCTTCAACCCCATCATTAACCGCACATATATTAACCCTGAAGACAACAGCTCCAGGTTTCACTTGGAGACAGAGACGGTGGTCTACCTAACCTACATCGAGGGAGTGTGTGTGGTGTGGTTCACCTTTGAGTTCCTCATGCGTGTCACCTTCTGTCCAGACAAAAAGAAATTCATCAAAAACACCCTAAACATCATAGACTTTGTGGCCATCCTGCCATTTTACCTGGAGGTGGGCCTGAGCGGCCTGTCTTCTTCTGAAGCAAAGGACGTTCTGGGTTTCCTCAGAGTGGTGAGATTCGTTCGGATCCTCCGAATCTTCAAGCTGACGCGACACTTTGTGGGCCTGCGCGTACTGGGACACACTCTCCGCGCCAGCACCAATGAGTTCCTCCTGCTCATCATCTTTCTGGCGCTCGGAGTGCTCATCTTCGCCACCATGATCTACTACGCTGAGCGAATCGGTGCCAATCCCAATGACCCACGTGCCAGCGAGCACACCCATTTCAAAAACATCCCCATTGGCTTCTGGTGGGCTGTTGTGACTATGACCACACTGGGCTATGGAGACATGTATCCTCAGACTTGGTCAGGCATGTTGGTGGGCGCACTGTGTGCTCTGGCGGGTGTGTTAACCATCGCCATGCCTGTGCCTGTCATCGTCAATAACTTTGGGATGTACTACTCTCTAGCCATGGCTAAGCAGAAGCTACCAAAGAAAAAGAACAAGCATATTCCCCGTGCGCCCCAGCCGGGCTCACCTAATTACTGTAAGTCTGCCATGAACTCGCCCCACCACAGCCCACAAAGTGACCACTGCGCTCTTGCTGCCCAGGAGGAGATTTTAGACATGAACAGAGCAGGTAGGAGGCTTGTTTAAGTAATGCCCTTCTGAATTAATGTCATAGAATCAGAAATTAGATTTAACTCACCTTTTCTTCCCTTCCACCTCACAGTCTTTCTAGATCTGCCTGAAATCACACATGTCACCTGTTTTCAAAATCCCTCATTTGGGAATTGTTCAAAAGCAGCTCTACCATCTGGAGACATTATAAAATCTCATCGCACTGCATTCTTAACAAAGATGCGCGTAGAAACAAACACACGTCCTCACCATGGTTGCATAACGACTAATACCCCATGCAACATTTTGCATATCTATATGTTTTTCCATCAGACTCCTGTGAGGATAAATTATATCCACCCAGACAAACAGGAGCACACTCATTCAACAGCTTGCTTTTGTATTTGTCTATCAGCTCGGCTTAATTACATTCTACTTATATATCAATAAACAACAGTTTTTTATTTGCTTTTGTGACCTTAATTTCCATAAAAGCTTGCCCAGACAGTGACTCTTGCTGTGAACAAACATTTTTTTTTATATAATGTTTATATTTTTATGCAGTTAATGTGTATATTTGAGTTTGTAGCTTACTTTATATATTTTAGAGGAGAGCAGAATGTGGAATGTTTTTTAATTTATTTTATTTTTATTTTTTGGTAATATAACTTTTTAGAAAATAACTAGATTTAAACAGTACTTTTTAATCCAATTAATCAAATATAAAAATAATTATTAGTTGTAGTCCTAAAGTAAAAATTTCAACCTCCTGAGAAAATGATGGCCACAAAAAAAGCAAAAAGAGTTTGATTTTGTGCAACATTATGTACATAGAAAAGGTGTAAAATATAAACGTTACATTTTAGGAAAAAAAGTTTGTCCACAGTTTTAAACACACCCATGCATTTAGGGTGTTGCATGAGCTCCCTTACCAAAAAGTAGTATACTTCAAGTTTATTTTAGTAAGTATACTTAAGTAAAGTTCAAGTATATTTTTAAGTATACTTTATGTAGTAAGTATACAAATATCAGTGTACTAGTAGTATACTTGTAAGTGTACTATTTCAATACTCCTTGGGACTAAATTGGCCCACTTTCTAATATATAAAAGTATACTTTTAAGTATAACAGTAGTAAACTTTAAGTACACAACTAGTTTACAACATATTATTACCTCTTTATTGGTCTACATTTTATTCCATAATGTTACATAGTTTTGATGCTGTTTTATGTCTGATGATCGTGTTAGATTACATGTGGAAGCATCTGTTGTTTCGGTTTCTTCTTCACTTGTGTTTTTTGGAAATTCTGTACAGAAGATGTGTACTAGCGCCCTCTACAGTATAACAATGAAAACACGGGTTCTAGGAGCACAATTATAGCTAAAATATATTTAGACTTTTTCTAAGTATAAGTCAAGTATACTTAAATGTCATTTTAAGTATATTTCTGAGAAGTGCATAAAGCCCATTTCTGAGAAGTACATAAAAAGTAGACTAAAAGTATACTTTCCTATTTTTAGTTTAAAAGAAGTATACTAATAGCACACTTGAATAAACTTCTTTTTCGTAAGGGCTTCTGATTTACTTGAGAGGGCAATCAGAACGACCAGCTAAAATCTGAGGTGTACTGCATTGGTTAGTATTTGTTGTAGCTGCAGAAGTGTCGTGTAGTAAACAGCTGTGATTTTGGAACTACTACTATGTTGTGAACCATACACTCATAATCAATATTGATAATTTCTCATGTTGGTTTGAGTTCAGTTTTATGGTCAAATTAAAAAGTGAAAAAGCAGTGAATTTGTGTCAGCCACACACACTCACATGTGGATGTGACACAGTAAGAGGGCCTGACCAGTATAAATAAGATATTTCAACCACTCCACTCGGTCCTCAGTATTCTTAACACAAATAAGTGGTGGTGAGTGCCTTCATTTGGAGCACTCATTTAGAGACTGGCTGTAAAAGAGAAGTGAGGAGATGGGCTTGTTGGCTGTGTCTGATCAGACTGGGTAAAGAATTTCTCATTAATGTGTGAGAGTAACTGTGAGTGACTCCTTCATAAGTCTGACTGGAGGGATTCCCCCACTTTTAAATGCTATAATAATAAATTTAATCAAGCTTTTTGATGTCAAGAACCACCAAATATTATGAACCGTTTGTGATGATGACACTCTGAAATATAAAGCTAAAGGTGGAAAAGAAAAACTCCATTGAAAGGTATAGCAAAAGTAAAAAAAACACTTGAAGCAATGTCTCAAAAAAAACAACAAAAAAACACAATATATCTCCCCCATCAACAGAAATAAATATATGTGATATTTGAAACTTTTTTTTGTATCATGTAATAATATTAAAATAAGTAAAAAAAAAACAACAAAAAAGTTACAATTATTGCCTTGCTTATAATTACATTTAATTTAGTTAACAGTTAACAAAAAACAAAAAACAAAAAACAAAATAAAAATTAAGAGTTTGGGGTAAGTACGATTTATGTTTGAAAGAAAATAATACCTTGTTCAGCAATGAATCAAAAGTGACAGTAAAGACATTTGTAATGTTACAAAAGATTCATTAATATTCAAAACATTAGACAATCTTACTAACATCAAAGTTTTGAACAGTAGAGTAGATGTTGTTAAAAAAAATAAATCAAATCTTTCTTCAATTTTTGGTGGACCCCCATTTGAAAATCCCTATATTAATCCAGTGTGAGTAGATGGCCAAACGGTGCTATCCATTGATCATAGGACTCAGGATCATTCCATTGTTGTGAGAGTTTGTGACAAACACTAAACTTTGAGAACTCACTCAATGAATAATGATAGAGTATTAGAGACAACCTTAAGTATGTCGGCTATTTATACAAGTTAGAAAAGGAGAGTCATATCTACAGTGTTTACTTGTGTGATCATTCTGTCCAGTTAAAAACAAAGCTTTGTTATGAAGTGAAAGGATGGGTAATACCTTCTGTTTTCACACAATCTCTTTATTATTTCATTCTCTGTGTTTTTACACTGCACTAGAGCCTGTTGCTATGGCAACAGTGTCCAAGCAACTGCACAATAGGAATCGCACTCTGCAATGAGCTGCAGTCATTCACTCGCCTTGCACGACTCCTGTGCTATTCACACGGTACAGCAAACACACACCTCGCACACACAATTAGATGGTCTGAGGATGAATGCAGTATAAATCAATACGTGACCTACTGTTAATTACTGCTCAGGTTTTTAGGGGATAAAATGTCTCTGGATGTTTTAGTGGTTCATCTGATTCATCTGTAATGTTTAGATGAGACAAACAGAGACACATAATTGATAATGAATTCAGTTAAATGTTGGATTCATTACCAGTTGGATTGAAAATATAAAATAATAAACTATACCAAAAAAACAAACAAATAGATATTCTTCCTGTCCTTTCTTCTCTCTCCCTCTCTGTTCAGCGCAGCCTTTCTAAATCTCTCTTGTAAATGAGTTTACAGATGGCACAAAGGCCTTGATTATCAGCTCCATCCATTTGACTTTGGGCAGAGAACCGTAAGAATCACCAGCACATAGAGCGAAAGCATCTGTTGAATTGGCCACGGTCGCAGAGAAACATAGCAAACACTCTCACTGCAGCTCTGTGACACACACACACACACACACACACACAGTCACTGTTTGAGATGAGTCAACTCTCTGTCCTCTATAGACAGTGCCTGTATCCGTCCCTGTCGTATAGTAATTTCTAATTCTGAGGTCTCCTGAGAAATATGAGTTGTGTAATTATCATTATGCTTTTGGCCCTGTTTTTATTCAAAACGGTCCACTCACACTTAACACATCCAACATAATTGTGTTTTATGAGCTGCTCTTGCTCTCACTGTAAATTGTGGCATTCAGAGATATGACAATATTTATATTTTGTGTTATGTATCATTAACATATAGGTTGGTTTTGATATATTTTACAGCATATAACACCCCTATCAGGAGTTGTTAGGAATAGTTGCTATTAATTGAATTTAGTCACAGCAGGAAAACAAAATTTTAGGCACATTCAGTCCATTATTTTAATACATTTTTAAACAGTTCTCTTCCAATGTCTGTGTGTATTTTCAGCTTCATTGTGTATTCAGATCTGTCCCACAACGAACACAACAAATACAAAATTAGCACAAAACAATGGAAACAAGCCACAACACAACATAAACAAGCCACAACACAACAAAATTAGCAGAACACAACAGAAACAGGTCACAACACAATGAAATTAGCACAACGCAATGGAAACAATCCGCAACAACGAAATTAGCACAACACAACGGAAACAAGCCGTGACTCACAACACAACGGGAACAAGTCACAACACAATGAAATTAGCACAACACAATGCAAACAAGCTGCAATGAAATTAGCACAACACAGCAGAACCTACTAATAGCACACTTGAATAAACTTCTTTTTCATAAGGGAAGCCACAACGGAACACAATGGAAACAAGCTGCAACAAAACAAAATTAGCACAACACAACAGAAACAAGCCGCATCACAGCGAAATTAGCACAACATAACAGAGCTGCAACACAACGAAATTAGCAAAACTCAACTAAATTAGTCTTATGCGTTGTGTTGTGGCAATTTCGTTGTGTTGTGCACTACTGGTCCACCGCAATATATATATATATATATACAGTTAAGATTAATATAATTTTATATTACACCATGTCTTCATGAGCATAATTGAAAGTTGTTGTTTTTTTAAGTTGTCCATAAGACCTTCAATTGTCCTCAGTTTGAAAAGATGGATCTCATTTGGAGTTTGAGAGGATGATGACGGAACATTCATTTTTGGGTCCTTTAAGACACATAGCTGAATTCAGGTTATTCAGTGGCCACAAACCCAGAAAAGTTTTGGAAGTTAGAAGTGAGAACGTCTCACGCCTGTAAACCAGAAATATGGATGCCAAACTGCGTACTGAGACAACTAGTATTTCAAGTTGGTCCTGCACACGCTACACAGATTTATGTGCCTGTCACTACATGACTTTTTCAAAGGTGAATTTGGTTGTAGAATGTAGTTGGAATGCCCACTAATCCATAAACAACTGTACAGTACAACATAAAACGAGTACTGACAACCATATTTGCATTAGTATGTGGCCAGTCTCTGAACTGGTGCTTGAGGTTGTTTATCACTTCCTGCTGTTATTCATATCATAGGGCTGAGAGCTGAGGAGAGGACAAATGAGGAGAGTGCTGAAAGTGAGGGGGATGATGAAGAGAAAGAGAGATTTGAGGGTGTTCAGGGCAGAAATAGCAGTGAGGAAGTAGGGCAGGTGCAGCAGGGCCCCAGCAGATCTGTCCTTCACTGCAGACTCTACACTGGGGCTCTACCTCTCATATGTAAATAATAATTACTGTCTGTGTACTTAGAGTGAGTAGGTTCTCATTCATACAGAATTAGAGCTGGATATTCCTGCTTGAGGAAATAACATACAGCACTTGTAGTCTACAGCTAGAAGTCTCTGGATTTTTCTTTCAGCAGAAAAAAAGATACACTCTAAAATATACATTATTATTTATATTATTCATTTACCATGTTTTAGCACGCATACACACTTTGAGAAGAGACTGTATTGAATTGAGGATCATTATTAGATGAAGAGGATGAATTGAATGAACCTTTCTACACTAACCAGCTGAAAAAGCCTTTGAGATTTTAGTTATTACATTAAATGGTACTACATTTGGTAGCATTTTACCGTTATATTCCCATACATTTCACACATTTTTTTTCACCATTTATGAATTATCCATGTGCCGAACTAGACAGACATCTCAAATGTGACTGCGACAGGTGGCAAAACCATACAGAATCGTAATCAGCATTCATATATGATTTCTTAAACATGTCAATATCAAAGAGATTCCTTAAAAAAGACTAACTGTAGAAACATAAAATATCAACTGATACTTCTGATCTTTTTCCTTTCTACGTAAAAATGTATAGCGAATTAGTAAACTTAACACTGATTTGAAATATGCCATCATTGTTGATGAAACTTTTCAAATCAACCACCTTAGCTGTAAATGCCATTTGACCCCTAATGTAATGAAATATTTTAGACTTAAATACTGCTCAAATTAGTTTTGTCAGAACACAACAACAGTTGAGTAATTTTTAATTGGCAGCGCTAGAGAAAGGCTTTTTTGCCTGCAGTGTAAAAGAGAAACAGAAACAACGGTAGAGAGTGAGAGGAATGCCTGTTTATCTAACTATTCATAAAGATGAGTCATCTCGTCCTTCCTCCCATCTCGTCCTATCCAGACTCTCCATCACAGAGGCTTGCATCACTTCACAACTTTTCCTGTGTGTGTGTGTTTAAGTATCAGTGTGTTGTTAGCTGTAAACTGTAAATGAGCACACACCACGAACCATAAATAAACACACAAATCCACTCAAATACCAATACATGTTTCTGCTTTAGAAATATTATTTTTCTCTATTCACAGTTGCACTTGCCATAGTAGACTGGACAAATAATAAGACATGACCTGAATCATGTTTAGCCTTATGTTTTATTTTCTGGAAGAACATGACCTGAGGGAATTCAAATGTAGTTCACCCAAAAAATTTAAATTTTGTCATCATTTACTCATGTCATTCCAAACCTGTATGATTTTCTTGCTTCAGTTATTTAAAAAAATATCCTGGCCGCTCTTTTCAGTGTAAACTGTGGCTGTATGATAAAGTATCGTGGTTCATATGACTTGTGCTCTATATTTTAAGTCTTTTGTGTGAGGAACACTTCATTCATCAGGATTCAGGAACTATGATGCCCAATTCTTAAACAAATTGTTCTTTTGAACCTTTCCAGTGAACGAGTTGATCCAGTTTCAGTTTGTTCAGCACAAAACTTTTTTGTTGTTTTGCTAGACTTAAAATATAATGCACAAGTTGTATGGACTACTATACCGATGTCTTTCAAATACTTTTACTATGCCTTTCAAAGCTTTAGCTCCATTCCCCATTCACTGTAATTACATGTAAAACTGTTTTCCACAGTAAGTTACACAGATTTGGAAGAACATGAGGGTGTGTAAATGATGACAGAATTTTCACTTTGTTTTGGGTGAACTATCCCTTAATGAAGGTATATTTTGTAGAGTCCCAATGTTAATATAAACCGTAGTGTATATGTGTCTACAGGGTGTGCATGTTGTACTATCTATCAACAGACCATAATGAAATGTAGCCACTGTAATATTACCAACAGGACTCATGTCCCATTTGAATAACCACAAAGTTAAAGCCTGCCGTAGTTGCTGATAGATGCTCTTTTGTTGACAGTAATACGTTAGCAATAAGAGCGTGCTTGAATCAGTGTTGGCGATACAATGGAAAATCCAGGTGGGAGATATGATAGTTCCCAGAGCTTTTTCCCCTGAGGAGCTCTGGCAGCGCTCTCCCTTCTCACAGGTCTGATCGATGAGGTGGAAATCGAGTGAGCAGAAGCTTCTGGCAGCCAGAGAGCTCACAAGTGAACAGGCTGGTTGCCATGAGCTGTTTCTATATATTACGCCGTGGCTAGGAGCTATAATTCAATGCTCCTCCCTCTTTCTTTGGAGCAAAACCAGAGCTGCACCCTACTGTTTGGTCAAATGAAGTGCTGAAAACAGAAGAGGTTTAGGTTTTTGCAGTACTAGGAGGTTTTTTACGTTAACCAATGCATAACTAAATTTATTCTCATACAATTCATATGTGGGTAAAAATGTGGGATGCAATTATATTATATTATTTACATTTCTGCATTTTGCAGCTATTTTGATCAAATACAAAACAAAATGACTTAAATTGCGTCTAAGCTATATCAGTTTAATTTGGGAAATGAACCATGACATGTTGCTAGCACCATGATCACAAGATGCAAATAATAATTTGGAAAATTTTAATGTAATTTGGTTGATAATTTAGATTAGGTATAACAGATGGAAAATGATGGGAAAAAACATTCTGCAAATGGAAACTAGGAATATTTAATAAAAACTATTTTTAGTATTTCTATATACATACTGTGCATAAATTGCATATTAAATATGAAGATGATCAAATACAACTTTAATTCTTTGGTTTTTATTTATTTATTCATGCATCCATCCATCCTAACCAGTGAAAATTTCATTCATTTTTAACATTTTGACATTTTAAATTTTTGGAGAGTAGTTTCCCAGAAAGGTTTAGGCAGCATAGTTAAAATATGACCAGAACTACTAATAAAATACTGTGACCAGAATAACATGTTAATATTAATTTTGCTGTTGAATGAGTATGCTCGCAACCCAAAAAATGAATGTATGCATACATAACATGCATTTACATCCATGTCACTAGAAGGGCTTCCCTTTACGTTCTCTTGCCTCATCTCTCTGTCCTGCACAAGCCCTCTCTTTCATCAGTCTTGGTGTTTCACCATGGCTACATGTTCTTATTACATGTGCTTGTGTGTTTGAAGATCCCAAAGTGAATGGTGAGGCAGCTAAAGCAGCGCTGGCCAATGAAGATTGTCCCCACATAGACCAAGCCATTTCCCCTGAGGACGGCCAGATCTTTAACCCAAGCGAGCCACGGGGAGACACTCCGTGTTTTCTGCTAAACGTCGGCAGACGATCCACAAACACGGGCACCCGAGTGAGGAAGGGTATGTAACTGCTGTGTGAGGCTATTGCCTGACACACACAAACACACACACACATGCACAGATGTAAATATCAGGTGCACTACACAGTAAATAAAGACAGTCCAAACATACAGACAAGCAGAGCGCGCCCACAACAGACAGTTTATAATAATGCAGTTTAATAACTGCAGTTAAAGACCAAATTTGTACTTAAATGTCTAGCTCAGCCATCTCAGATTTTAGTCAGATGGGCTCAAAAACGGCATCCTTTGTTGAAATTTTGACTTCCATTAGTTCTTTTATTATCTTTCAAACACTACCGTCAGCATTTTTCATATGTAATGAAAAGACCCTTCCCTGCACGCTCAGATCCTTCCACAAGTCACATTTCTCCAACCCTCTTCTCTTTTAACATATTGTAAATAAATTTTTTCCACACCACGCTGCATTACATCAAACTCATATTAACACACATACAGCTGCCTCCTGGGGCCAACCTTAATCTTCCCTTTTTTTCTGTTTTTCTTTGTTGTTTGTTTGTTTTTTTACTTGTTTCTTCCACCACTGTACATGCCTGTGGTCTGTCTCTATGTTTGTACCTCCTTCCATCTCTCCCTCTCTCCCGTCTTCCTTATGCTACCCGATTGGCTCATAGCTGGAATTTTCTCAGGGAGGTCAGGGGCAGAGCCGGCCGGCCTGACGCATGGCACACAGGGTTACCCTCTGCTGCAGCTAAGCTGGGCGCACAGCCCAGAAGACGGCCATGCCAGGGTCACCACCTGAGATCCATGCCTGTTTCGCTGTCATACGCTCAAACCGCTCACAGCAGCCTTAGATAAATAAAAAGCCCCTACACGCTATGTAGCTTTACGGTGAGCGTGATTTCACCAAGTACAACATGTTCCTGGATCAACATCCTTGTTGATCCTGGAACATCATTCCAATCAACCAATCAGAATTGAGAGATAACTTTTCAGGAAATGTCAGTTTTAGGCTTACGATCAGGGTTAGGTGCTTCTACACCCTTGTTAATCAGCTATCATTTCACACTGTTTTTAGGAATAAATTATGGGTAGGGTTAGGTTTAGGGGTAGGGATTGGGTTAAATCTGTATTTTTGGACAGTAATGTTGATCCAGGATCAACAAAAGATGTTGATCCAGGAACATGTCTTACTTGGCAAAATCACGGCGATCGTAGCTTTACAGGCTGTCAATTAACGTCAGCAAATGTAGTGTTATAAAAACAAACACACGTTCATGTTATATCACACCTGTTCTAGTTTGACCCATGACCCCTCCGGTATGAATAGACTAAAGATGACCTTTCCACAATAATTACACCACTGACAGCGATGACATAAACTGACCGTTTCTGATCACATTCAAAAGAATATCCTGCTATCATCCACCAATTTGTCATGTGATAATTTTCTAACCAATAGCACTGTCTGTCTGTGTCTTATGACATGTTGCTCTGTGTGAGCATGCTCTGTTTGACTTCAGATCTTACCCATAGCCAAAAGCACCACAAGATGGTCAACATCATCACCAAGCAGAACTACACACACTGTTCCCAACAAACATGTGTTTTTGTCTTTGTGTGTTCTACTGTATGTGTATGTGTAATTTTATGAGTGTTTTGAGATGTGTGTGTGTGTGTGTGTGTGTGTGCATGCATGCAGTGCTTCAGAGTGCACTGTTATTTTTTCTGTAGCATTATGTTGTGCATGTGTTGGGGCAGTCCTGCGGCCTTGCTGCACAATCTGTCCTGATGCCTGTATGGTATTGGATGAGAAAGTGAAGACTTGGTTTTGCACAAAGGCAAAGAATATGATGGTGTAGATATGCCACTGACATATGTGACACGCTCTTTCATTTCGAGTCGAAAGTCCCAATAAACCATTAGTGGAGAAATGTGATAACCAAAAAAAAAAAAAACCACCTTTTAGGTTTTCTGTTTTAGAAATAATAAAACAGTCTCTGCTTTCAAATTATATCAGTTTTATTATGAAATTCAACAATTTTCCCCTGCCTCAGTTCAAACAGCAGCATAAATGCATGTGAACTGATCTTCTCTTAATTTTTAATAGTGAACATGAATGAACATTAGAGGGTATGTTGATGCAGTAATTGTCCCTTAAGTAATTGTCCAATAAATTTTTAAACCATGGAAAGGCATCAATGAAATGGCTTGTTTCACTTAAAGGGGTCATCGGATGCAAAATTCACTTTTGCTGTTGTTTGAACATAAATGTGTGTTGGAAGTGTGTGTACACATCCACCCTATAATGCTAAAAATCCACCCAGTGTTTTTTTTATTTAAATCCCTATTTTAAAATCCTCTTTCTCAAACCAGGCTGTTCTGAGATTCCTGTCAGAATGACGTAGTTCTGCACAGGACCCTCCCATGGTATTGATTGACAAGGCCGTCTTACCTTAGACCCGCCCTGAGTGAGCTGTCATCAGTCCGCCATTGTGTCGACTCCAGTGCGGGGGAAGACAAGAATGTCTCCGATTAAGCGATTGAGGTGTTCTGTTG